CAGCATAACCTTCCTAAAACCTAGGGCAAGGCAATGGTAAGCTGGCTTTACAGGGACTTAGCCACAGTGACTTAGGTTCACATCACTACAGAAAGGACCTGGGAGCTTCCTATCCCCCTCCTGCTTTCCAGCCCACAGCTGGAAAGGGCAAGTCAAAAGCTACTAGGGTTTGTTCTGATTGACCAGAGCAAACAATTCCTCTGTTACCAAAGCATGATCCAATTCCAATAAGCACATGTGCTCTGAGGAAGCCAGAGGAGATGGTCTGGTTGGCTTTGTATCAGATCACTTATTCCTTTCAAGACTGAAAGGTCTTACTTCTTCCATTCCCTAGTGATCAAAGAATACAGACATTGGAGGCAACAAGGGTTAAAAAAACCCAACCAACCAAGAAAAAAAGAAACCAAAACAGCACTGACATGTGCCATTAGCAGAAAGCCATTTTACTCCCTATTGCAGTTCATGCTATTTACAACCCCAGCTAGCCAGGGAAACGTGCACCTTTCAGCAGGCCATTGGAAACAGACCAGCAGTCTTCACCACCCCCACCAGCAAGCTTGTGCTAGCACCTCCAGATCAGCTGATAAGACCTTGTTTTTAAACTCTTGCTCATGTCTGCAGCAGCTCACCAAATCCATTCTGCATCTGCTGTGCCTGGGACTACAGTGGAACACCATTAAAACCTGTTTCCAGGCTAGTGGAGACAAAAGCTAAGCAGCTGGAAAGAAGCCAGGTCAAGCATCGCTTCCTAGCTTCAGAATCTGATTGGGAGTCTCACTCTATAGAAGACAGAGTGAGAGCCATTACCTTGCCCTGACAGCATGAAGTGGTATTAAAGCAGGCAGAATAATTCCCAGGAACCAGTGCCTCTACAGGCATCTGTCTAATGTGAGGGCTATGCACTGGATGTGCCTCAGGAGTATAGGAGATGGCCAGGACGCAGCTGGGACGAGCAAGTGCCCTCGAGCCAGTCTGTGTACCCTGAAGGGCTCTGGAGTGCCCACACTCCCTCCACGGTGTACCTGGGGCAGCTGCAAAGATCAGCTGACTGCAGGCTGCAAGACTGAGCTATTATTTCCAGAAACAAATGGGTCTTGTAAATCGTAACAAGGCAGCCAAATTCACAAAGACAAAGCTCTACCTGCATAATAAGCAAAGGATCTGTTTTACCTCTGGCTCCCTAGACCAGCTGGAGTTCTTTGAGGAGCTACATGGCTCTTTCCTAGCAAATCAAGCCTTTATCCAGCTACTCTGCCAAGGTCAAAATCCTGCCACATGTCCTTTGTGCCCCTAGAGCCATTTTGGTATTTGGGGTTAAATGCTGTTGTTCCTACCTGGACATTCCTCCAAAACAGCAGATGAGAGAACACACGCTTCCTTCTCCTTCTGCCAATTACAGCCAAGCTCAGCCATGTTTATTTACCCTGTGTCTGAGCTGGCCAGATCTTTGACCCGATGTGTGCTGAACACCACCCTCCTTCCCCTCACACAGAGGCGGGGGCGGGTGCTTTCCATGTCTCCAAGGCGGCATGGGAGACAGGAGACCAAGGGCACTAGCGGAGACTCTAGCATGGAGCCGCAAGAGAGTGCCAGATGCCAGCTATGCAAGACACGGGGAAGCCTGCAGTTGCTGGTAATGTGCTGCTGCCTCCCACCATTGTGCAAATTTCTCCCGGCTGCCTGGCCAGAGCATTCTGCTGCAACGCCATCCCCCAGCCTTCAGACACCTCCTCCCAGCTGCATCCTCTCCCTCCCAGAAGCTTACCAGCAATTGCTCCCCCTTGCCCCCCCACCTTTGGTAGGGTGCACCTCCTCTTCGGAAGAGCTTAGTAAGCAGTTTATTAATGGGAAGGTTTAGGGGGAAACAAGGCTCTGAAAGTTTGAGAGCCTTTGCCGTATGCTAGGAGCTGACTCCGTCATTGCTTCTCTGGCTTTGTCTGGCAGCAGGAGGCACGCCCGCTGCGTATCCTTGGGACAAGCAAGCCAGAGAAACCCCTTCATCCCTCCTCAGTATCACCACAGAGAAATTCTGTGCCCACCTGGCTAACTGTAAGCTTCCCAAGGAGAAAAGTTTTCATCAGCTCTGCCCGAAATTGCACTTCAAAGTGGTCCTTTGTTACAGAACGGCTGGGCACCCTGCCCGTCTCAGTCACCAGATAGGAATCCTCCCCCACCCCGCACCACAGAGGAGCGGTACCTGGCTGCCTGCAGCAGCTTGTCCAGCGTTGGCACTCCCGGAGGCCCCAGTGCCGCGGAGAAGCGCAGGCCGCAGCAATGCACGGCTCCCACAGCGCCTGCCGCGCTGCCCTCCGGTTCTAGCAGAAGTGCAGGCACCAGGCGCTCGGCAGCCAACCACACTGCAGCAGGGGGAGGGGAGGAGATGCAGCCAGCCTTCAGAAACAGGACAGTCAGACGCTCTCCTGGGAGCGCAGAAAGTGCCACGCACACCAAGCTCAGGGCTCCCTCCTCGGGGACCAACGGGAGCACCAAGGAGCAGAGCAGAGCCCCCAAGCTGCTGCCACCACACACTGCCCAAGGGGGTCTACCCACCATCGGGCTCCTGCTCAGACGGCCAAAGTCACCCCTGCCCTACACCCAGCTAGATCTGCTCCATCCTATACTCGATCTTGTGGCAAAAGGTTTTACGTCCTGTTTGGTATCACCCTCACCTATGTCCCCACTGCTGACTCCATCCCAGGCCCTAAAGCCAAGCAGGTGGAGCTGCAGAGAACCCTCCAGCTATGCGATCGCTATTGCTGTGCCCACAGAAATGGCCAGATACAGGACAAGATCGCTGGGAGTCCTACTGTGTCAGCACTGCGCAGTGCAGAGCTGGGCCAGGCACTGCCTGGAAGCATTTGTTCGATCTCTAGATGCTTTACGCAGAGAGAGGACAAACGCCACAGCATCACATCCAACACAGCCAGTGGATTGTTGCTACAACCGTCCCATCCACGGTAACACACAACCTTCACGGTGCTCTCTACAGTGTTTCGTGAGCCTCTGGAGGCATGCTGTCCCCAACTACCTATATCTGCCCAAGCCAGTGCTTCATCGGGATTCCTGTCTCTCCCCACAGGTTCCCCCAGAGGGGAAAGGGCTTCAGGCGTCCCAGGAGGGAGCCCAGCCACATTGACACGCAGGGTCTCTCTTGCCTCATCTCACAACACACACTTCTTCGCTAAAGCATCTTACCGTTCTCCCTTCCCTAGTTCTGGAGGGCAAACCTGGCTGGCTATGGGGTACACACGGCTACAGCACGGTTAAAAAAAAAATTCACGTGCGTTACATAGCAGGAGTGCAAACACATATTATTTATCTTACACTGAAAGCCATTCCTGGCAGTGAACACAAAGCCTAATTATAGAGCAGTGAATCCCGCAGCCTGTGCGCACAGCGCTCTGGAAACAGCCATGACTGGGACTTCAGGCTGTCCCACCGTTGTCATAAACACACGCCTCCCGCGGGGGCTCCCGGCCTCTGCCAGCCGTCCCTGCATGGCAGGCAAGAGCACAGGCAGCAAGGCAGCTGGTCCTGCCTGCAGGGAGGCTAAGAGCACCGGAGCCCGGGG